GAGGGCAGGCATGGTTATTTATTTTTTTAAAGGAGGGATGAGCATTTCCAGTGAAAGGCATAGAGGGTACAAAGACACGACAGAGGGAAATGGGAGAGAACAGGGCTGGAGAAGCTTCACGACATGGCTCCTCTGTGGGTATTTGAAGAATTATTTCCACAAGATCTGCCCAGGAGCCAGAACTACATGCTGGGCTTCATCTGACAAAGCTTTACCCATGAGAAAAAGTATCTGAAATCCAGTTCCAGTGTTTTCAAGACTCAGTCCATGAATCTCCATAGACATTGTCACCTACCATTCTTTCAATTTAATGAATAGTATGAATTTCTGTGACAACCTTACTTATTTGTTTCTGGGTCTTGCTTGAAAGGCAATTTATTAATTTTCATAGGAAAAGTTAAATAATATAAATTATATAAACGATTATATACAAAACCATACACAGCTAAGTACTCAATATTATAAACTTGTTTCAGAAGATAAGTGGATATTTAACATGTCTTATTATCTAAGAAATGAGCTAATAGTAACTTGATTCTATTAAGTCTAAGACTCTTCTGAGATTTTGATAAAGCTGTCTTCTCTAGCCATGGCACATTTGAGAATAAAAAGTGAGAAAAAGATCTTCGAAAGTGATTTGAAAAATATGAGATCACCATACAAATGCAAGGCATTTAAAAGGTAATTGTTGGACTGCTGCGTTATTTTTCAGTTTTCTGTTAATTTCCCATTCTTTAGAAACTGGTCTTTCCACATAGGCACAGAATCCAGGAATGACCATTAGTGGTGGAGTTAGAGCACTACCATATTAAGATCCTGAAGATTCTATTAATAGTTCAATAATTCTTTGATCCTGTGATTCACCAACCTACCGTTTCCTCCCTTCATTTTTTACAAAGTATAGCGTCAACGGTCCATCCTTAGAACCACTTCCTTTTATATACTGTCATCTCCCTCACCTTCTACCCTCCATCCTCAATTGAGGTCTCCTGGGAAAACCGGATCCTGGTGAAGTCCAGCTCTCCACTGCTCCATGCGTACACTCCAGCTACTAAACGTGGCTGGAGTTTTTCTACAACTATTTTGAAGCAACTCTCACTTTAAGCTCAGGACTGTAAATGACCAAAAGGGCTCTCAGGGCTTCCTGGCAACCCTTCCTGAAAAACAGGGTCACCACTCTCTCTTCATTAACTTCCTTCCCCACCCACCATTGCCTTTTCCATTTTCCTGCTTTTTGTCCTATCTTTTCAAATGCCTCAGGGCTTAGCCTTTGGGCCTCTTTGCTCTTTAAGCTCACCCTGTAGCCACGGCTTTTTTACCCAACCTCATGACTTTATAAACAATCAATACGCTGACCTTTCCAAAATAGTTATTTCCAGTCTGGCCCAACTCCCCAGTTACCGAGACTTCACTCAGACTGATACATTCAGTTTCTCAATGTCTCCCCTTGGGCATTGAATAGATGTCTCGACTTTAGCATGCTCAGAACTGAGCTCACAGGTTACCTTCCCAAACCTACTTACATAGCAGTCTGCTTTATCTCGGTAAATGATAACTCCACTCCTCCAACTGCTTAGGTCAAAAAACTCCTGGAGTTATTCTTGACACTTCTCTTTTTTCACCCCCAACAACCAACCAATCAACATATCCTTTTGATTTTGCTTTTAAGACATACTTCAAATCTCACCACTTCCCACCACCTCATCCTTAGTTAAGGGCACCTGAGCTATCGCTGTTCTCAAACTGCTTTCCGGCTTCCGTCCTTGTAATGGTCTCCCTTCCACACATCAGTCAGAATGGCTTTTTCAGAACTTCAATTAGGTCATGATACCCCTTTGCTCACCACCCTAATGGCTTCCCACCTCGTGTAGAGTAAAAGGCAGTTAGAGTTCACTCATTCCCAACTGGTCTGGCCCCTAATTTCCCAGGGGCTCATTGCTACCACTCTCCTCCTCATCCACTGTGCAGTGCCTCTAGGTTGCTCTGAAATCATGCCAAGCACTTCCCCAGGGCCTTTGCACTTGCTGTTACCTCCGTCTGGGCTACTCCTTCCCCAGACTTCTCTATGACTTGCTTCCACACTTTGGTTTTCAGTCTCTGCTCAAAGAAAAGACTTGACCAATCTATTTGAAATAACAGCGCAACCCAAACAAACTAACCCTCCCACCATTTCCTAATCCTGTTTAAAGTTTTTGTAGAATTTAGAGTATCTGAAAAGTGCATTAAAAAAAATTCTCCCCTCTACTTCGAGTGTAAATATATGTGTGAAGACTGTGTCCATTTTGTTCACAGAGGCACACACAGAACTCAAAACATCGCCTAGCACATACTAAGCACTCAAAACATGCTGAATGAGTGAATCAATGAGTCACTGATCCTTTGCGAAATAGAGGAAGACATGGAGGAAAGTTATGTTTAAATTCATTCCTCCACAACTCAGATTCCATAAGAGAGTCTGCCTATGTCCCACATATTAAAGAGTCTAGAAAATCAACAGCCACACATCAAGATACAACTAAGTGACTATTTTAGCTGACAGTTGACTGTATGTTTATGCAGATCAGTTTAAGTAGGAAAAAGGAGATTTCTGAAAACTGCTAATGTTTTATATATTTTTTCAATCTCAAATCGCATTGTAGACTGTATTTTATTTTTCAGACAAGTGTTTTAATTACTGTTGTGCAAACAAGGTAATGGGGTCCTCTAAAACACACTTCAGGGTGCGGCACCCCAAGCCCTGGCAACACATATTTACTGAGAACCACCTCGTACCTGGGGACAACGTGAAGAGGCCCAGTCCCCCAGAGTCTAGAGCAGTTTCTCAATTTCAGCGTTACTGACACCTCGGGACAAATAATTCTTTGTTTCCCTATACGTTGTAAGGTTCCCAGAAGCATCCCTGGGCTCCACCCGCTAGTCAGTAGTAGCCCCGAAGCTGTGACAACCAATCCTCTGAGGGAGAAAAACCTCCCATCTGACATGCATGATCTAGGAGGCAGTTATGGTAATACGGTGCTTGAAAACTGGCTAGTTAAGAGCAATACAAGCTAGTGATATTCTAGAAGAAGAAGAGCTCAAAGTTGGCTTTCTAGATCAGGAAAGACCCAAACCTCTTCTAAGGTTTAAAGGCTCTTTTTTGACTGAGACTGGCTGGGGAAGGCCTGAGCAGGCAGGGGTTACAGGAA